AGCAGCCTGTTAATGGTCTTTATGGCAGCAGTGAAACTCCTGTATGTAGCCATCTCAGATAGGAATATGTGAGGAGGCAGCTATTAAGCTGTGTGCGGATATGAGCCAGGTCTGAAGTCCTAGCAGGCTGGTAGCTTGTCCTTTCAGCATGTTTGTGTCTGCTGAATGGAAGGAGACTTTGAATCTCAAGAGCTCAGTCAAATGATGAATTGGGTTCTACCTTATGGAAGCTTCTGCCCCAATGAATCTGTTAGTCTTTTATATGCCACAAGATTCTTTTTGTCTCTTACTAGTGCACTAGCTTAAGGCTGAACGAGATGGGTAAAGACTGGAACCTTGGGAGTAGGGGAGCTTTGGTCTCAATCCAGGTCAGGCCTCCCTCACCTGCTCTTCGTATTGTGGGGGGCATAGTCTCCCCTTCATTCAAGAGGAAACTTTTCTTTAACATAATAGCAGACACATGGTGCCTGATGCTGTTTGGAACCACATCAGGAGACAAAGAGTTAAAGCCCCTATTCCACGGACACAAGAGAGTCCCAATCCAGGATGTTTCCTTATGTCATAAATGGCAAACGAAGACCCAAGGGCCAAATGTGTCCCTCTAGAGGAATCTGGCCAAGCCACACACCTCACCAGTCCTGTTTGAACCCCTCTAGATAATTTTTGTCTGGCTGGAATGTGTCCTTGAACTCTTGATTGTCTTTTTATTTGTCTTTCACAAAGGTAAAAAATTACATTCATTGCTCTGTGCACTTTTTTCCTCTGGCACCACCAAACAAAATCATGTGGCCCCAGGAAGGAAGAAGGGAATATGGTCCTTGGGATGAGAAATGTTCCTCAACCTTGCCTTTATGTCCTTGTGGGCTCCTTGTAGCTCACACTGGGAAACAATACTGAACCAGGCGGACGTTTGGTCTGATCTAGCAGTACTCTTATTATGTTATTGTGCAGCATCTGAGATCCCCTTCTTTCCCTGGTGCTTCGGGATTTAACTTGTAGCTGCATTCTAGCCTATGTGGCTTAAAGGTAACTGTGTGCTTTGACTGGGACAGGGAACATCCGACGGCATGTCCCGTTGGAGTGTTGTGGGTTTCAAGGAGTTAACACTCTGTGTTCAGTAGAAACGTTGACTCAGCATCATGTGATGAGTCAGCATCAGGAAACCAAGATATGGGGAGTTGCCTAATTGGTCTGTAGCCAGCTGGTATAAAAAGGTATGGTTGTCACACACACACACACACACACACACACAGAGAGAGAGAGAGGGGGGGGGCTTCTCCCCTGTGTGTAATCCCACCTATGTATGCTGATTCCTGGATGTAAGAAGAGTGCTTTATGATGACGCAAGACTGCAAGTGGAATAGAGTGGCTGGGAAACCCAACCAGATGGGTGGGGTATAAATATTATTATTATTACTATTACTATTACTATTATTATTATTATTATTATTATTATTATTATTATTATTAAGCCCTACTTAAAATACGGCTTGCCTCCTGAGAGCTTCATGTGGGGGCATCCTTATATTGCAGCATGTCCCTCTCTCTGTTGTATAACGTGATGGGTGGCCTTGAGCAAAAGCGCTTTCTCTCAGCCTAATTTCTACCTCACCAGTTGTGGCAAGAATAAATTGCTTCCCTGAGCAGGGCAGGGCGCGTGCAACAATGAAACAGTCTTCCCATGGAGCCTTGGAATGCAAGACCAAATTCCAAAAATATTTCCCTGTCAAGCCAAATTACCTGAGCATGGAAAAAGAGCTAAAATATGGCACAATCCTCTCGCATTGTTGCACTTCCTCGGTGAGGGTGTATGTGTGTGGACCCAAAGGTTCCCTATGGTGGCTTACCTAAATTATTAAAATGTAATGTTCCAGGGCCTCACTTACCCAATTGGACATTTACGTGGAACCTCAGGTCTATATATGTTTGCACATGAGGCCCCTGCTTTCCCCTCTCTTGGCACTGGAGATGGGAGGCATAAAAGACCTCCAGTGACAGCAGGTCGAAGGGCCATGAGTGCAGCTGGAGCTTTAGCTAACACAGTGAGGAAAGAGCCTGCAGAACCACTCAGGAGCCTTGTGTGAGGGCAGGCTACAAGTACGAACCAGCCGCAAATAGAATAAAGTGTCTGCACATGTTTTCAGCTTGCTACTTCAGTTATTATTGCTAATCTTCACCCTGTATGAATAATCAAAAGCTTTGCTGCCCTCAAGTTCTGTGAATATTGAGTCGGAGGTCATTCAGACGCTAATTAAAATAGTTCTCTCGGCAGCACCGTGTAGATAAAGAGGTTGGGGAACCAAGTTTTCTACTAGCTCTGGGTTCTTTTGTCCGTTTTCTTCAGCTCCTCCCCACCACCTTCCAAGTCAGCTTTCTACCCAAGCAGCCTACAGTATCGTTGAAAGCACTTCTGCTGGATGATGAGCTGCATTTACTGAAGTCCTTGTGTACTTAGGAAATGCACTCTTTTCCAAGCGAAGTGTTCTTCCCCACCCACACCGTGTTCTGTGCAAGGTCACAGATATAGTTGGCAAGGCTGCTATATTCTTGTTGTTGTTGTTGTTGAAAAATACTACAAAGCTGTAGTATTCATTTTATGCCTTCAGCAGCTATTAGCTGTAAGGGACGCGGGTGGTGCTGTGGGTTAAACCACAGAGCCTAGGACTTGCCAATCAGAAGGTTGGTGGTTCGAATCCCCATGATGGGGTGAGCTCCCGTTGTTCGGTCCCAGCTCCTGCCAACCTAGCAGTTCGAAAGCACCTCAAAGTGCAAGTAGATAAATAGGTACCACTCCGGCGGGAAGGTAAATGGCGTTTCCGTGTGCTGCTCTGGTTTCGCCAGAAGCGGCTTAGTCATGCTGGCCACATGACCCGGAAGCTGTACGCCGGCTCCCTCGGCCAATAAAGCGAGATGAGCACCGCAACCCCAGAGTCGGTCACGACTGGGCCTAATGGTCAGGGGTCCCTTTACCTTTAGCTATTAGCCGTGGATTGGGGGCAGATATTCTAAGAAAATAGTTCATGGGTTTGTTTGTTTTAGTTTTGATTTACAGAACTTTGACATTACAAATAAGAATTATTGAAAGCCCTCATCAGGGAAGACTCAAAGGATGATCTAGTGTCATGTTACAGTGGGCGCCCTCAGGGAGGTTGAGCATAGGCCCAGGTTCAAAATGTAATCTAGAGGTGAGGTCAAGCAGCAGGTGAATACCACAAGGAATTAGGCACGCACGGTACAGCATAAGTTCAGGTCCAAGGAGCCAGAGACCTGTGTTATTTTCGGCAACTGGAAGGTTCAAAAGGAAGGCCTGATATCAAATCAAATCATTGGGTGTCCAATGCAGAGCACAAAAACTGGCAAAGCACAGAGAGGAGTGTTCATTTGCAATATGGGCATTGCACTTTGATCTTCTGTTTCTCTCAACTTTCCATTGTACTCTCTGAGGACATTTCATACATGCCTGTAGGATCCTGCAAGCATGCTCCTGAGTAAGAGGAAGATGTGGAGCATGGCATCTCTGGGAAATATTTTAGGCTTTTTTAGCTATATAGACTGTGCAAATGCAACATAGTAGGCTTCTGTGAAAATCTCGCTGTGTACACTTTTGAGATCTACCAATCAATTTGTGTTGTGGTGGTCGTGGGGTAAACGTTTTGCTGTAAGTGTATAATTTTGGAAGAGGTCTCTTAGGTTTGTCTGGCTTTATGGCACCACCTTCTGGACATACTGTTAAATTATTCTGGCTCAACAAGGCTCATAGTTCTGAAGGTGGCATGACAACAAGGGTCCTTATTCATGCATTACCTGGCAATATGTTTGCCATCTTGAAAAGTCAGAGCTGCGTGGCATATGCAAAGAGTAATCATACGGCTTGCCTGGGCATATGAGATGAGATGCTTTTCGCATACAAACTAACCACACAATCCAGGTTCTCAGTGTGGTTTTCATAGTCATGGGGAGAAAAACCTGCATTATACCATTTAGGTTCCCAATTTTTTTAACCCTTCACTGACCATTTATAGAGATGTTGTAACAGCGACGTGTTTAGTAGTCAAGAGCAGAGTTTATGATAGTTTGCATTTCATTTATTGAAATATGTTTTATCTCAAATATGTTTCATAAATTAATGGTGGAAGTTTGGCTTCCTCATCTGTTGTTATTCTCTCCTCCACAGAACATGACAAGCTGTCAAGGATTGTGCATAGGCTAGAGACAGATTTATGTGGTTGATGAAAGCACTTGTAAATGCAAATGAGCAAACAACAGTTTTATTATGATTTGTAAAAGTCTGGACAGTAGAATGACATTTTCTGGCTCCATGAATCTGACCAGTAGTTACAAACAAAATCTGAACAGAAAGCAGAATCAGAATGTCTAGCTCCATATGAGCTCTTGCAAAGGAGGTTGCTTATTTCTGTAAGTGGTTTCTCCCTTCTAAAGGAGACAAAAGCAGTTTGTCTAACATGCTGTCCCCCTCCCTTAAAAAACTTTCTATTGTACTTGCATTTTGTTTGTAATTATGGCATTCATTGGGCTGTATGCAATATAATGCTAAAGTGAAGGTTCTGTTAGCACAATGGAACATGCTCCCCCTGTGTGACCCCTAAATCTGCCCTCCACAACTCTCTAGAGTAGGAGTAGTAATAATAATAATAATAATAATAATAATAATAATAATAATAATAATAAATCTATTATTTATACCCCACCCATTTGGCTGGGTTTCCCCAGCCACTCTGGGCAGCTTCCAGCAGAATATTAAAATACAATGATTAATCAGATATTAAAAGCTTCCCTAAACAGGGCTGTTTAGTAAATTTAGAGATGGTGTGGGATGCACATGGGTGGAGGAGAGGAGGAAATACTGTTGTGCTAGTGCTAATCCTTGTGCTAGCACAGCTCTTTAGTTGTATACTGCCCATTGTAGACATGATGAAACGTACTATGATGCCTAGAACTTGCATCCTAGGATTGACACTTGTTCTCATTTCTCCATATAGACAATTCCTCATCCCTTCTCGAAGATGAAGAGCTAGGCATGGAGGCCACCAGCTGGCAGCTGAATAGCACATCTGTAAACGGCCATAGTGAAACCCCAACAACAGCTCGTTTCCCCAGCTGGGTGACTTTTGATGACAATGAAGTCAGCTGCAATTCTCCATCCACTTTATCCCCCGTAAAAGCAGATTCCCCACCATTAGTAGCAACTGCAGCAGCAGCAGCAGTCACAACAACACAGATCACAGATGTGAACTCTCTTACCCTCTCCTCATCCTTTAAGAAAAGGGAACGCCCCAGAAGTGCATTGGCTGACCTCCCTAAAATTCAGAAACTAGACCTTTCTTCAATAACCAGTTTGCCTTCGTTTAGTGGGACACCCCCTTGGAGTGCGACTAACCCTTTCCTTGACGAATCCCTGAGGGACGTTCAGCCTTCTCCTATCAACCCGTTCAGCTCTTTCTTTGAAGAACGGGACAGGCATTCTCAAACCTTTCCCATTTCTGGCAGAAACCAGAGAGACTCCCTCATTATCCTCCATCAGGAGCCTGACTGCATCAGCTTTAATGAGCCAAGTAAACACCTCAGGCACAGAGATGCTGTCGAGCAGCTCAAGCAACTCCAGATCGGGGACCCAGATCAGCTGAGCAGTCCTACTCTGCCCGACGACGACCCCACAGTGCCAACTGAGCTATATAGCACCGTGTCCTTTCTGGGGCCACCTCCGCGAAAAGATGGCTGGCCAATGATGCTGAGGATACCAGAAAAGAAGAACATCATGTCATCTAGACACTGGGGGCCGATCTACGTCAAGCTGACCGAGAGCCGGTACTTGCAGCTCTTTTACGAGAAGGGATTGGAAAAGCCTTTCAAGGAATTCAAGCTTGACATCAGCCATGAGATTTCAGAACCCAAACTCCAGAACTATGATGAGAATGGGAGGATACACAGTGTGAGGATAGACCGCATCACCTACAAGGAAAAGAGGAAGTACCAGCCAAAGCCTGCTGTCTCTCACATAGCGGAGAGGGAGCAGGTTATCAAGCTGGGTACCACCAGCTATGAAGACTTCCTCAGCTTCATCAGGGCGGTCCAGGATACACTAATGGATTTGCCTGCCTCGTCGACAGACCTGAGCACAGTGGGATTGAACTACCAAGAGGAGGAAATCACTGTGGATGTAAAGGATGAGTTCTATGGCACCTTGGCCAAAAGAGACAATAGGATTTTGCAGCACAATGTGTTGACCCGAGTGCACGTTCTCACTTTCCTTTCTGGCCTGGCGGAATGCAGGCTGGGTCTCAACGATGTCCTTGTCAAAGGGAACGAAATCGTCTCACGGCAGGACATCATGCCCACGACCACCACCAAGTGGATTAAGCTGTACGATTGCCAGTTCCACTCCTGCGTGGAGGAGGAGGCGTTCGCCAGCGCCCGCGTCATTCAGTTTAACCCCTTGGATGCCTGCAGGTTTGAACTGATGCGCTTCAGAAGCGTGTTTTCCGAGAAGACGTTGCCTTTCACCTTGAGGGTTGCAGCTAGCATCAACGGCGCCGAGGTGGAGCTCCAGAGCTGGCTGATGATGTCTCCAGGGTTCTCCTCCAACAGAGACCCTCTCACTCAGGTTCCCTGTGAAAATGTGATGGTCCGCTACCCAGTGCCACAGGAGTGGGTGAAAAACTTCCGCAGAGATAGTGTCCTCGGGGAAAAGTCTTTGAAAGCAAAGGTGAACAAAAGTGCCAGCTTTGGATCCACCAGTGTGTCCGGTTCTGAGCCAGTAATGAGAGTAACACTAGGAACTGCCAAATATGAGCATGCCTTTAATTCCATCGTGTGGAGGATAAATCGGCTGCCCGACAAAAACTCTGGTGGGTACTTGTGCTGCAACTGGGTAATAATACTGGGAAAAGTTGTATTTTGGGTGCTGGGTCATATTGGAGTAACGTGCAACATTAATGGATGAAACGGTGTTCTGTCAGAAGGTGCAAACAGAATGCCTGCATAAAGCGAAGTAATTACATTTTTTGAAGATATGAAAATTTGCAACAGTAATAGTAGTAATTAAACATAGCAGTACTTGATTGTATTGAATATCACTTCTCATGGTTCTTAATTGCCTCCCCTTTTTTTCGTTTTGCTTTTCTTCCCACCATCCCCCAAAATCTGGCTCTGCTTACCCCAAGAGTTTATAGGAGTCCCCTCAAAGAGCAACAATTCCCAGCACCCTTAAGGAACTGTAGTTCCCAGAATTCTTTGGGGGAAGCAAAGACTGTTAAAGTGGTAAACGAGTGCTTTAAATGTATGATGTATAAGGTGATACAGGAAAAACTTTGTTGGAGAAGTTTGTTTGAAAAACCTTTGCAAGAAAAACTTAGCAGCGCATGCACAGGGTCTAGTTAAACTGCCCAGATACTTGTTTAGGTAAAAATATCAAAAATGAGAAGGCAGGATGGATCCCACCATCCTTCTCTTCTTTTCTCAGTATTTAATTTTTCTCCTCATCCCGTTTACCATTCAAAGCCTAGTCTCCCTGTCCTCCAACTCCTTTCTTTCTCCATTCTATCACAAGCTGTGGCAAAAAACAAAACCCCTATTATATGAAAATATATTTTTTAAACATTTTATACCTCACATTTCAACATAAAAGCTTCAAAGCAACTTGGCAAGCATGAACTGAAACATCCAGTGAGAAATTAAGAAACTATATACTAGACACAGCAATAAAAACCAATTCAGCAGAGGTTAAAAAGACTAAAAGGAGAAACATCGAATAATAAAAATGACAATAAAAGCATTAACAAAAACAACCTCGATCAAAAGGAATCTGAACAACAGGTGTTAGAATCCAGGTATGTCCTGGACAAGGTAAGAATTGCATCGATGGCTGGTTTGTTTGCTTTTCTCTGCTTTGAAATGGGACTGGGGTGGGGCGAGAGGACAACAGACCAAAACTGACATTCTGCATATGTTGGGGAAGAAGCATTTCCTCGCAACTCAGAGCTTTCAGGCATTGGCTCTGGCACTATTATGATTTGGCTGTGGAATAAGTGTGTTAAGCCAAAAGGCATATGCCTAGCTTTTTGCAGAATCCCATTTTTCTAACCTTGTGCACCCTTCATATCTGCTCCTGGGCTTCTTCCTATGCCTTGTTCTGACAGGTTGTAAACCTCTCTGGGCTGAACCACTTTAGGCTGCAGGTAGAAGCTGACATGAATAAAACTCCTATTTTCCAAAGCCTCCAAACATGGAGAGCTTGATGGGTAGGGGCGATGCTATAATAAACCCTTCTCCCTGACATCTGATTTAATTCAGGGGGCATTGTTTATTGGTAGGAGTCAGTCATGTGAGTCCCTACCTGCAGTCTGTAGTGGTTCATCCCAGACACAGATTTACTACCTTACTAATGAGCAGAGCTACATCTTTCTTTGTATACATAATTTGGGCTGCTTTGCTATAAAATGTGAAGGTGATAACTATACCAAAAAAAACAGTGCAATCCTACGTTTGTTTACTCAGAAGTAAGTCCATTATATTCCCAAGCAGGTGTACATAGCCTTAGTCTAATGGGTCTTTCTGGCATCTCATTAAATTGGCCCAACTTAAGCCTTGCTTTAGTTATGCGTGAAAGTTTCCCTTTGCTAAGCACAAGGCAAGTGTTGTCACTGCACAGATGTCTGTTGTTGTTGTGCTTGAGGGGCAGCTGTTTTTATATAATCTATGTCACAGAACCAGTCCAAAAAAACAACAGCCCTATGCTGTGGAATTGGATTCCGTGAGGAGCATTTATGTGACTGTTCCAGGAACAGCTTGGTAACTTCTAACACAGTCCCCTGATTCATAAGCAACATGTTGATGCTGGCTGATAAAACAAGCCTTGTTTACAGCCTGTGAGGAGTCTCAGTCCCAACTGGACAGGATTCAGGGCTCCAGCGTGAAAGTGTGTTTTTTAGTCAGTCAACAAGCAAGCCGAACAAAGAGTGTTAAGAAAACATTGATTCATCGAAGGAGTTTCTGCCTTGACTGTGGAGAAATACAATGCATTTCAAAGGACAGCAAAACTTAAACCACAGCTTTGGATCTGAAGACTGGAAAACTGGTGTCTAATCAATGTTCATCAATACTGAATGCCCCTTTCTCCCTAGTGCATTATGTTGAATATCTGAATCTGAAAATGCTAAAGCACATTTTCCTATGAAGCTCACACTGTTTATATAACACACATAAAAATAAATACATTCCAGTTTAAACAATATATATTTGACAGAGGAAGATTCCACATTTCAATAGCACCACATCTGAGTAAACATATTTAGGATTATAGGTTTAGGTCACATTCTAATCTGTGCTGCCCATGTTCATGCATGTCTCAACCTGCACTGATCCTACACCTGCCCACACTATAGATAGGAGGTATTAGCAATAACAGTCCAGATACAGAGGCATACATGCTTCTCCCATACTACCCAGTTCCTGATTCTAAAGAAACATCTTCCTGTGCTCCTGTTACTAATACCAAAAGGCAAAGAGGGAACATGGACAGCTCTACCCAGACGTACACTTTGTGCCTCTGCCAAGGTTTTCGCTTGCACAAGGTCTGGGGAGGTTATATGACATCCACTATTACCGTAACTGAGCATTCAATTTGATTTACGGGGAGGTCATATAGTGTTACATCAAGCAACTGTTATTCCACCTTTTCCAGTTTGTTTTCCTGTCACTTTCCTTACTGCAAATCAGGTTCCTTGCAGTGCAAGATGACCTAATTCACTTCAATCACGCAACCTGAATTTGCTGCCATGTGATTGAATCTTACTCACAAAATAATGTTAGTCTGAAAATGGTTCCAGAACACACTTGTCAAAATGTTGGTGTCACAGACAAAAACATGCTTTGCATCCATGAGAATCATTCAAAAGTCAGCACTGGAATATGTTATCCACACAACTTACGTGCTGACTGCTTCCTGTATATTGGATGCAACAGGAATCTGACATTAGATCACTGGCATTAAAGCAGGCATTTGAGGACCTAAGCCTAGTGTGGCTTGTTATGGTCACCTAGTAAATTCAAGGGTGCAGCAAGATTTGAACTGTGGGTTTCCAGAGTTACAACCCACAAACTTACCTACAATTCTGCACCAGCTGTACTGAATCAGTGACTTCCCAATGTGGGTTTTTTCTTTGCCTTTATTGCCTTTTCTAAAAGGTATATGGGGCTCTCTGTAGTTGTAGTTGTTGTTTAGTCGTTTAGTCGTGTCCGACTCTTCGTGACCCCATGGACCAGAGCACGCCAGGCACTCCTGTCTTCCACCGCCTCCCGCAGTTTGGTCAGGCTCATGTTTGTAGCTTCGAGAATACTGTCCAGCCATCTTGTCCTCTGTCGTCCCCTTCTCCTTGTGCCCTCCATCTTTCCCAACATCAGGGTCTTTTCCAAGGAGTCTTCTCTTATGAGAAGAGAAGAGGTGGCCAAAGTATTGGAGCCTCAGCTTCAGGATCTGTCCTTCCAGTGAGCATTTAGGGCTGATTTCCTTAAGAATGGATAGGTTTGATCTTCTTGCAGTCCATGGGACTCTCAAGAGTCTCCTCCAGCACCATAATTCAAAAGCATCAATTCTTCGGTGATCAGCCTTCTTTATGGTCCAGCTCTCACTTCCATACATCACTACTGGGAAAACATAGCTTTAACTATAAAGACCTTTGTCAGCAAGGTGATGTCTCTGCTTTTTAAGATGCTGTCTAGGTTTGTCATCACTTTTCTGATTTCTAATAACATTTTTCTGGGACCTTGGCAAATCACATAAGGCTCCTCTATATTTGCATATTAACTTTGCTTTATGGCTGGCAAACACTGAGTCCAACATTTTGTTCAATAAATTACACATCTAAGAATCTTCTAATTGACTATTTCTTGAAAAGTATCAATGAAAGGGGTGATTTACAAAGGCAGGCATTTATTTGGAGCTTCACAGGAGAAAAGCAACTGGGAATTGAGTTACAGCAGAAGAGCAAATGGGAGAAAAAATTAGCAGGCTCCCTTCTGCCACTTCCACTGAAAATCTGTCTCCTGGTGGTGTTTTTTGGTGAACAAGTGGGGTTCCCCCCCCTATCCCTACATCATTATGAAGTGTGTGCCAAAGAGCTCCTGTTCCCTAGATTTCCAAAACATGAAAACACAGCACTTGACTCAAGAAATACTGCCAGTGGGAACTAGCCCATCCCCAAATAAACGTTTTCATTCTCTTTGAAATCTTGCCTAAGCCCCCTTGATTTCAATAGGACTTCGAGCTTTAATAGTGTTATATGGATTGGACAGTTAGAAGGCTCACACTTGTCTTTAAACATGTGGGGTCTTTCTTTTATTAGAGGGGCGTGGGTGTGCCCATTACTGATTTAGAGCTTTAAACAATATAATATTGTATGTCTTGGTATGATCCAAATGATGCCATCAGCTAATATGAGTTGACAGTTTGTCCAGATTCCTTCCAGTATCTATTGTAACAGTTTTATCAACAGACTGATGTAAAGCATGGAAGAGTCATTCAGTTACTTTTACAAGAGGTTCTTAAATACTCTTCTAGAATATGTTGTAACATCATACTGAAACCTCACATCATACTGAAACCCCAGTAGTTTGATTCTCGTTTTTCAATAATGACATGACAACAGCATTCTGACTCATAACCATCTAATTAATTAAGCTGGCTTTCCTGTTTTGTTTTGCTTCTAAGCCTTCTGAAGGCTTGATTTCAAAGAAAAAGTTTTTGATTTCCATGTTCTTTTGCCCTTTTGTAGCTTCTGGTCACCCACACTGCTTCTTCTGCCACCTGGAGCTTGGCTCAGACCGGGAAGTGCCTTCTAACTTTGTCCGCTATGTGGATGTGGAGTTCGACATGCCAACCACTTCAGCATCCAAAGCCACCATCCGCTCCATCTCTGTGGAAGGCAAGACAGATGTCAGGAAGTGGGTCAACTATTCAGCACATTACAGTTACAAGGTATGAGCGAGCAGTTTTCTTCCAGGGATTAAGTGAGTTGGGGTTAGCTAGTTTGTTTGCAAATGAAACTATTTTATAGTATGTCTATCGAGATCACGAACTGCAGTGAACGACTAGATTCTCCATGGTGTCTTATATAAGTTTTCTATCATAAATTTCGAAGTAGAACTACAGTAGGCTTTGTAACTCAGTGGTAGATTATAGGTCTTGAATGGAAAAGGCCCCAGATTCAGTCCTTGGCAACTCTAGATATCTGATGGTAGGGCTCAGAAAGATCTCTTGCCTGAAACTGTTGCGATCCCCTGAGAGTAAACAACACTGAGCTAGATGGAGCCAGTGGTCTAACTCTGTTGAAGACACCTTTATATGTTCATAAACCTAGGAAGAGGAGAAATACATCAGATACTCCTCCCGTTTTTGCTATAAGAACAGTGATGTGGATGTTGCAGAAGGAAGGCTGGGATTACTGTACTAAGTCCCTACCTCCTTGAGCTCCTTCATTGTCTGATTTCAATCCAGCAGGCTTGAGGGTTCTTCCTATCAAATGGGACATTATGACACCGATTTCATGCTAATCTCCTCACCCACTGCAATTTTGCCAACAACAATGAGGGTTGATGGGGTTGCTATGATTGGAATCTGTCCCACTTTTGCAGATGAGAGTCTCGTGTAGAAGGGTATATGTCCACTGTCTTCACTGTAGAGCAGAGATGGAGAACTTAACGGCCTTCAGAAGTTTCTCGACTACAGCTTCCATTGTCACTGACCATTGCCCATGCTGACTGAGGCTTATGGGTACTGAAGTCCAACAATAGCTGATGGAGGGCCCAGGTTCCCCATCCCTGCTTCAGAGCAGGTTGCCATTGGCTGATGTGGAAATTTTACTGTTCTTTTCCCACAACTCCCAACTTCCTCTTCCTTATCAGGTGGAGATAGAGCAGAAGAAGAACTTGAATCCAGATGTGATGGAAGAACACACTGATAACCCCAAGGACTGTGCTGTGCAGTGAAAGGAAAGGTCCATCTGCAGTTGGAAGAGAAGAATCAACAGGGGTTGAAGAAGAGGGAACAGCAAGTTGCTCCTGCTGTAGGAAAAGCCAGATAGAATCTGGAGCGCCGTAGGGTTTCCTTGTTCTCTATGTCTATACTTAGAGAGGAACCTATTTTGGGATTTGTTTACAGCAGACTGGTGGCTTTGGTAGAAGCACACTAAGCATATAGTATATAGGCTTACAACTGATTCAAGCCTGCCTTCGTCTCTGACACTAATCTTCTTACAGTGATATAATGGTATTTTTTTTCAACTCAAAAAGTGTAACTCTAGTCTTATTGACAGTCTTTCTCCCCCTACTGTGTGCTTGACATTACCTGAACTCTTGCAATTCAGTCCTCAGAAGAGCTCTTCCAGATACTCTGCAGAAGCACTGAGGGGAAGGAAGGAATGAGAGATACACCACATCATCCCTTGGGTTTTCTGTCATGTCCATGACACTTAGTGAAACATTTTAACAGCTTTTCTTCTCCACCAGTGTAGACGGAACCACTGGGAATTCCACTGGGTGAAGGACAAGTGGATTGACCTTCCCTTCTTATCATCTCCAAGGCAGAACATTTAAAAATTGCACATTTCCTTGGATTTTGGTGGCCAGAAAGCTTCCTTTATTCACTTAGACTGACAGCGGGGCCAGGATTATTCTTTAGACTTGACATAGTTATAGCTGCCAGTAGAGGGGACTAGGATAATATTTGATCAGGCTTGACTGGGAGGATCCTGGAAGGAAATAATTTCATTTAAATTAATGGTCAAGTGAATGGTCAGGTGGACTGGTTACTTCTCTGACAGATGACAATTTATATTCTTGATAGGGATAGGGAAAGGAGGTGCTCTGTTTATTTTTTTGTAGATGTTGACAATGCTGCTTTCATGTTCTGTCCCAAAACCTACATCTTATTTTAGAAAGACTGCAGTGCCACAGTTGTGTGTGATATTCTTACTTTATAATGTACTGGCATAATGGCATAGCAGACAGTGTTGTCAGTACTCTTTGAATTCTCTGTCTACAATAGTCTCACACAAGTGCAAAAATCAACAAAATCCAAGTTTCCACCCTACATGACTGTAAAGATAATCTTGAAAATGTCTGGATATACCTGAGCAGAATGTTCAAGGAAAGCAGCATGGGACTTCAGCACAGAGGCATTATCATGCAGTTGGGTCGTTCAGATCCATTTGTTGTGTGTGCGACAACTGGTACACAAATATACAACCATCCCTCTTTTTTCACCCACAATATTCATTGCTATTCCACCTGTGGGTGGAGCTTAACAGAATATATGCCATGTGGGAGAGTTTTATCCCTCTCAATCACTCCACCACCACCTTTGTACACTGTGAAAATGTGAACAGGTATCTCTGTACCTGTGCACATGCACCTTAAAACAACAACAACCCAATAATTCCAGAAGAGCTCAAGGTCAAACCTTGTCAACATGCTTCACAATGGGCAAAATGGAGGATAGTGTATTGGCATGGACATGTGATGCTGTAGTACAAACAAGTAATTTTATCTAGATTAGAGGTGGGGAATCCTGAGTTTCCCCCCACCCCAGCAGGCTACTTTGGCAGGTGGGTACTGTTGTCCAGCTGTCAATCACCAGACATCACTCTGGTCCTCTCCAATCCTTTAAGTTTCACCCCTGTGCAGAAGTGAATTCTAAGAACATTCAAAACAACATGATGGAAAACCCCAAACCCTGAGAAGATACAAATCCAAAGAAACACTACCTTGCTGCCCTTCACTTACACCCTAAGTCTGGTTTATACATGCATTTTCATTACTGCATGAGAGTAATGAAAGGATGTCTTTTGTGTTCTAATGGGCATCACAGAGAGAATTTTCATGTCACATCACCTGTAAGTTAATAGCCAAGACCCAGCTCTATACATGTGGAGCTGTTTTTAAAATTCAGTGGACATGCCTATCATCCCTTTGGAGGGGAGGTGGAAACAGAGAGGTACTAAATCCAGCCTTCTTCCTTTTCCTTCCCAACAGGTGATAGGTAAGATTACTGTTGAAGAGGAACGTGTTATGCACAGCTCAATCATGGAGAGGAATCACATCTACAGCACCTGGTGGTGGATGAGAATCCTCATCTATATAGCACCTAACTAGATTCTGCGCAAAAGCTTTGCAGTGGAGTCCACTTCCATATGCAGGTGGCAGTCATCAGGTATAAAGTAATCAAATGAACATATGTGAACTAGAACCACTTAAAAGCTGATCCTCCAGAGGATGCTAAAGCTTGGACCTTGCTGTTTCATAGCAGTCTCTGAAAATACTTCTCTGCGTGTCCTGCATGGGTTTTGCTCAGGCATCTGGGTGGCCCCTGTGAGAATAGGATGCTGGGCTAAGATCAGCAGGCTCTTATGTTCCTAAATATGCTACAAATGCATCAGGTACATATAAGAACATGTACAGCTGATCTTAGAGCTGTAAGAACAAAGTCAGCTGATCTTAGAGAAAGCAATTGGGCAGAGCAGGATGGATAAGGGTGAAGATATCACTTAGATGTTTGGAGTCTCAATGTAGTAGGTTTCTAAAGATAACAATCAGTATCTTGTGAATTGTGCCCAGATTTCCATTCACACGCTAAACCTTCGAATTCAACATGTCCCGTGCATCCAGTTCCATTCAGATGTCATTATGTAGAATGCACTACAGCCCTTAGGCTTACAAGGCCATTTGTGATGGTTAGCAGGTGTAAATTCAAAGCTGGGTAGTATAAGACCCAGAAGCACCTTCTTGAATGGAGAATGAACAGGAGACAAGCCTATAGTCCTGAGCAGAAGAGGCTGGGATACATCACTGATGTTTATGTCCTCACAAGTGAGCATCACAGCTGGCTGATTATATCTGCGTTTAGTAGATTTGCCTTCAATTGACTTGCCAATATCCTGCCCACTGTTCCGAAAAGTTACATAGCATATAATACCATTTGGCTTTAGTCCTTCTTCTGCGGTATTGTCAGCTGTGCAGGGACTGATAGAATACCCTGCTAATTTATTGTGGAAAGAAACTGTGTCTCTTTGCTATAAAAAGGGCGTTGTGTTGCTTTCAGTCTGCTCTTTGCTGCCTCCATCCAGACGGATTGTTCATGACCTCTTGCACTATTGTGATTGAGTGGGTTGGTTGTTTTTTTACATATTTTGTAACAGGTTTCTACCTTTTGATGTTGTACTATGAGAGAGTCTACACACTGGTTGATACTTTAGGCATTTTGTTGTCCCCCCCCCCAAAAAAAAAAAAAAACTTCTCCGAGAAATGTTCTTTTGAGTTTCATTGTTGGAGGAACTGTTGAATAAAAGCAAACGAAATGCTACCTTTATTGAAGTCAATTTATTTGTGTTGGCATTCTACCTACAGATCAACATTCATAGTGCATAAGCATTAAAACTTCTTTTGAACCAAAGCCCATCTCTGTGGCCTATGAATATATTACTAATACAGTACTGTCATTTATAGTATTATACAGCATATATAGTGTGAACAGGGAAGGAGGCTGAGGGTGAGAGTGCTGTTTATTGAATTCATAGGTGAGTTAAAATTTGGATCTGGGCCTTTCTGGCTCAAAGCTGACATTCTAAGACTGTAATCCTAATTGCACGTAGCTGGGGGTAATTCAGTAGGACTTATCTTGTTAATCACTATGTTCTCAATTTAAGCCTCTGCATCTAAAGGAAAATGCTTCCGAGTGTATGCAGAGTGCATTTTCCCAACCCTTGAGCAGTCTGCCCCACACACATGATATTACAGGGTAGGGTTTGCAAGCAGGCTTGAGCAATGACACCTCACTTAAACAAGGCCTGGTATAATCATTATGCTGGACATGGTCAAATAAAAAATGAAAACAGGCAGCATGCTGCAATAACTCTGCTGTTGTTGTTTAGTCGTGTCCGACTCTTCGTGACCCCATGGACCAGAGCACGCCAGGCACTCCTGTCTTCCACTGCCTCCTGCAGCTTGGTCAAACTCATGTTCGTAGCTTCGAGAACACTGTCCAATATGATGCAATTAACCGGGTGTCTGTGGGCTGGGTGTGGGCTGTATTTGTATACAACTACTGCACATATGGATGTGGCAACTCAGATTAGAGGTTACCCTGCCCACACTGAACTATGTACAAACAAGTCCATGCTTAAAACAAGGCTGCACATTAGTTGCTCTCAAAGTTTTGCTCTACAAACTTATGCAAGAGCAGCTAAGGTGGCACCTTCCTCATCCAGAAGAGCAGGTTAGCCATCCTGCATGGAAAAGCACATCCCTTTATTAGCACATGTATCGGATGCCTTTGCACCTAAAATGAGACCCCAAAGACAGTGGGTGCCTGAGGAGTCTTTCTTATACCAAGTCTTCTTTGGTGATCACTTGTAGTCGAGTAAGATTGTCTTCCATGAACATGGTCTTAACAGTGAGTCCGTAAGTGACTGTGGAGGCCAATTCTGGATCCACACGTCCTTCCACAGTGGGGACATTGGTTTCCGGGCGGGAGTTGATCATGGCGAGGGTCTGCCAAAGCATGTTTCGTCCTGAGTTCAAGCATCTTCAAAGCCAATGACACCTTTGGTAAAGGCTGTACTCCAATTGGAGCACTTGCAGGCCAGTGTTTCCCAATTGTCAGTGTTTATACTACATTATACAAACGCCGGCTCCCTTGGCCCATAGAGCGAGATGAGCGCCGCAACCCCAGAGTCGGTCACGACTGGACCTAATGGTCAGGGGTCCCTTTACCTTTTATACTACATTTTAAAAGTTTTTCCTTAAGAGAGTCTTTTAACGTCTTTTGTTGACTGCCAGCATTACACCTTCCATTTTTAAGTTGGAAATAGAGTAGATGCTTTGGAAGACGATAACATGACCAGTCCAACGAAGTTGATATTGATGAATCATTGCTTTGATGCTGGTGATCTTTGCTTCTTCTAGTACACTGACATTAGTTCGCCTGTCTTTCCAAGTGATATGTACAATTTTTCAGAGACACTGTTGATGGAATCTTTTGAGAAATTGGAGATGGTGTTTATAGGTGGTTCATGTTTCACAAGCATACAGTAAGGCTGCCATTACAATAGCTTTGTAAACAAGCATTTTGGTTTTCCCGCGAATGTCATGGTCCTCAAACACTCTGCACTTCAATTGGGAGAAAGCTGCACTCGCAGAGCTCAGGCAATACTGGATTTTGGCATCAATGTCAGCCCTTATGGAAAGATAACTGCCCAGGTGGGAAAAGTGATTGACATTTTCCAACATTACACCATTTAATTGGATTTGTGGTGCTGCAGAGGGGTTGTTTTGTGCTTGTTGGTGCAGCACTTTGGTGTTTTGGATGTTGAGCAATAGGCCAAGCTTTTTGTAAGCTTCTGCGAAGGTATTTAGGATGGTTTGGAGGTCATCCTCTGAGCGTGCACACACTACGTTGTCGTCAGCATAGTGAAGCTCTGTGACAGAAGTTACGGTAACCTTACTCTTTCCTTCAGCCTACTCAGATTAAAGAGCTTTCCATCTGTTCAATATATGATTTCCACTCTGGTGGGGAGTTTCCCTTCAACAATGTGTAGGATCATGGCAATGAAAATAATAAATAGAGTTGGGGTGATAACACAACCCTGTTTAACACCTGATCCCAGGAGAGCCAAAGGTTCCTGACATCTGCTCTGTACTAAAATACACCAATGGATGAACATTGCAGACATTTCTTTTCCATTTTTGGTAGATTTGTTTTGGATCTCATATGACCCAAGAGTTTTGCTAGATCATTGGACCAATGGTCCATCTTCCAACCAGATGTCTCCTCCTTCATCCGAGGATCACAGGACAATTAACAATATAAAAACACAAAAATGCATAACATAGTAATAAATAAAAACAATAATGTCCTCACAGTTTAAAAGACCAGAGAGTGCTTAATTAGCCAAAGGCCTGGGAGAAGAGGGATGTTTTTTGCCTGGTGCCTAAAGACAGGATTTATTACATCATGTATACAAAGCAAACATGCTTGTCAATTTCACTTCTACTTGTGAGATTAAAAAATTAAAATACTACAATATGCTCTAGTATTGGTGAGCACATTTGGCACCGCCAATCAATGTAGATAACACTGACCCAATGGTCTGTATAAGGTTCTTACATTCACCCTGCAACTCCACGTGGTTCCTTTCTTAAAAATAAGAGGGGCCCAAGAATTAATAGTGCCCCAATAATACACTTCCATAGGGGAGCTAGAGTTAAAATCCCCCCCAAGCCATCCCTGCTGGTGTATAATTGGGGGGGGGGCTGGTGAGTGGAGAACTACAGATTCACTGTTGCTAGAACATTTCTGTTCACAAAAATCACAAGAAGTTTGAAATGTAATTGTATGTTGAAATAATCACTTCACTTGAGCATTTTTTTTGGCTCATTCCAAAATGAACAGATGCTGCAATGTGGATTTTAAAAGGCCCATTTATTTTTATATGTGAGGGACATTTTCGCCACCTTGTGGTCCGATGCTATTACTAGAAAACTCATGGATGAAAAACAGAGATAATAACCAACTCAACAAAGTGAGGTACAAAACTGGAACAATGTTTTTAATATAAAATGATCTGATGCGCAAGGACTTTTTTATATATAAAAAAAGCACCTACATTATACAGTCACAAAATGTCCCTATGAAAATTTCTAGTTAGTTTCATACACTGTCAAATAATCCAGATATCCACAAAATTCAATGAATACCACATTCAGGGACAACAGATTGATATTCAGTCAGAAGATCTACCAAATGTTCATTGGGATCTAAACTAAAGGGAACCTCCACTGTATGTATAAACCCTCCACCCATCACTATTATTGCATAAAGAAATCCAGTATGTATTGCGACAACAACCATGTCGTTTCTCAATGTTGAAAGTTGCACCACATTTTTCAAGAAGCCAATATCTAAGAACCAGATTAGATGTTACTTTGCAGTGTAGCACGCAGTTCTCTTTTTGGAACTTATGTAGTGTTTTTTTCTAGGAAAAAGCTGAGGTTCAAATGTTAACCATACAGGTCAGGTACTTCTGTCACAGTTCAGAAACAAATGAAACATCCATTAATACAATAACAGGACTACAGTATTTAGAGCACCATCACTTAAAATGTTTTTGACAACTTTGAAAAGAAGAGATATATTCAGTTCCATAAACCTATGATCCACAGACCAAGGGAGGCTCTGTTGTTGTGAAGGCCCTGTGACAGGGCCTTCTTGGTGGCAGTTCCGTTTGCAGAATGCCCTTCTTGGTGCAGTATATTTGTCTAATTCATTATAGTTAGTTAAGTATTTCTATTGCTTTACTTGATCTGGGGGGGGGGGAAAGGCTGCCCCCCCAGCTATGCCCATGCTCAGGCATTTGATGGCTGAAAGATACTGTTACTGGCAACGTTATTAGCTTTGAAGGTATGTAGTGGCTTCCAATTATATTGTTTTGGCTTTTGGGGGTTTGCAGCCCTCAGCTCCTTGGAGAGGAAGTACGGGATATAAATTTAATAATAATAATAATAACAGTAACAACTAGCAACATTAGACTGTACAAGTTTCTATATATTTTGTGCTGCAGTTTAAAATGTTACATATTTGACACTTCTTATATCAGCAGCAAACTCCACAAAACAGAAAGGCAGTCAATCAATTGCATTGATGCTTATTTATTTCCATTGGAAACAGAAAAAAGGAAATAAAAATTAATTACACAAAATAAAACATCACAAAGCCAGTTGTTCAGGCACACCCTCATGCTGGCCAGCCGGGAATCAGGGGCGTAGGAAGGGGTGTGTTGTGGGGCGGTCCGCCCCACATGCAATCTCTGAGGGGGGTGACAGAGGCACACCGCAGGGGACTCGCCCCGCCGCACGGAGGATCACACCACCACCGCTGCAGCCACACGCGGAGGATTGCACCGCCCCCCCCCCAGTGCATGGGCGCCCATGCAGCCAGCTCCACCACTGCTGGGAAGGAGAGCAACATTTAGATTGAAAGGACTCCACACCTACCAAGCAGTCCACGGGGGTCATTTAACAGCCCCATGAGCTGCCCCCATACCGAGCCGACCACCGAGTCCCCGCCCGCTGCGCTAAACCGGAAATTGCGTCTACGCAGATTCAGACACCGGAAATTGCGGGTGCACACATTGACACATGCAGCCTGGCCCACGGAGGGATCTCTGCTGGAGTGAACCGGCCCAGGCGAGGTAAACCTACCGCCCCCTCTCCTAATGC